GCACCCCTAGGTCTGTCTGTTCAACAGTGAGTGTGTGTCTGCGTAAGAGTGTGTTCCCAGTGCAGGCTCCCGTTCACCCCGTGCAGACGCGGTTTACTGATCTCAGTCTCCAAGGACTGAGGTTTCGGGCGTGTCAGTTTTCCTCTGTTCACACACAGGTGGTGCCTTGACAGTATGGTGTCAATGCTTCACCAAATGTGTGAGACACTGCTCCCTTCAGGGAGGCTGTCTGTCCCTCAAAAGTAATGGAACCTCTCCCACCACAACACCTCACATTCCCTCCCACCTTCCCCGCGCCCCCCCCCCCCCCCCACCAAAACCCCCACACCCCCCACCCCACCCCACCCTGGTCCAAGAGACATAGGATCCATGTGATTGGGATCCAACAGAAATGGCAATGAGAGGGCAGACTTGAGACCGAAAACAATAAACAGAGTGAGAGGATTATTACATTCATCCACTAGATGGAATTATTGTATTGCCATGCACCTGCATTTATATAGCACCTTTAACATCAGTCCAAAGCATGTTACAGAAGCAGAAACGTAGAAGCTAGAAGCAGGAGTAGGCCATTCAGCCCTTCGAGCCTGCTGGGCCATTCAATATGATCAGGGCTGAGCCTCTATCTAAAAAAAATGGAGAAAAGATGGATGTGAAGACAAGTCAGGAGATGCTGGGGAAAGATGAACTGAAGCTTGATTCCTTAGGTAGTTTGAAGCAGAACCTTAAAGGAGAAGAGAAAGGTAGAAAAATGCAGTGAATGCTAAAGTGTAGGAGATGGGGCATGAGCACCGATGTTGGAGCAATGGGATTTTGTTTATCATGTGGTTTGACTCCACATTATGAGTTTGGCTTCAAGACAGACCAGCCAAGGAGAAGACAAGGTCAAGGACCAATTTCAGATTAACTATTTATTATAAATTAATACTAAATGCTGCTGTACAAAGTAATCATTGATACACTAGGGATTTGACATAGATTCCATTAGATAAGGACTAATATGTTTTCTTTGTGCTTTCATATCCCTGGGCTTTCAGTAAGTCTCTAAGCCTTCTAGTGCTGTTTCAGTGTGCTCGAAGTCTGCTCACTCTGTGGTATTTATACTCAGTGATGTGCAGCTTTGTGTAACATCATCGCAAGGTCGCTCCAGAGTCCCAATGTCCTTACGCAATAGAATGGCGTTTGGAGGGACATGGAAGAGAAGCAAGCAAAAGCATGAGAGAAAGGGGGAGAGAGATAGAAAGACTGGGAAAATCCTTGGAGGAGATGTAGGTAGGGAGAAAAGGAAAGTAGCAGAAGAATGATGACAAAGAAGACCATGACCACCTCATACTTATTGTTGGAGAGGCTAATCAGAATACCTACAGTGCAGAGAGGCCATTCAGCCCACTGAATCTGCACAAACCCTTCAAATAGCATCCTACCCTATCCCTGTAATCCTGCATTTCCCATGGCTAACTCATCTAGCCTGCACATCCCTGGAATTTATGGGGCAATTTAAGCATAGCCAATCCACCTAACCTACACATCTTTGAACTATGGGAGGAAACCAGAGCACCCAAAGGAAACCCACACAAGGGTGGAATTGAACCCAAATCCCTGGTGCTACTAAGCAGCAGTGCTAACCACTGAGCCACTGTGTCACTTACTGGGAATTAGGAGGATGTTGATAGTGGAGAAAGGAACCCTCAGTTTATCTTCTCTTTTTAAGATGATCCTGGAGCAATGGATGGTTTTGGAAGAGGAAAATGAGGCTCCAAGTCCCGGTAATGATCTGTCTGGATCGAGTCATGGGGTGTGATCCACAGTGTGTGCTGAAGCCTATGTCCTTTAGTCTGGAGGGAGAAAGTTTTGGGTGGTGGTGGGGTTCACACCAGGAGGAAATAAATGGCTGGGAGATAGTAAAGTCTCTACGGGAACCATGGTAACAAGTGCGGACATGAGAGAATGGTTACACAAACCAACATGCAGAATTATTGTGGTGAAGTGTGTTGATTGTGGAGTTGAACATAGTGCCATCAGTTATTGTCAAGGTGCACAGAAAATCCAAAAGACCAGCAGAAGAATGACAGACAGTGGGAATGAAACCCGAGTGACCAAGGGTATAGAAACTCAGGAGGGAAGGTCAGGTGATGAGTAAATCATGGCACATTGTCATCAAGAACTGACAACCTAAACAAACATGGGGCCTTTCATTTCAAAGCCTGACACTTTAATGTCCAATTGATTCGAATTATGGTTAAGCTTCAGCAAAAACTAGTGTCTTTCTGTGATACTGATTAACTCGGCACAAACCACAGGCAAAAAGGATGCTTTAGGATGTGAAAATTAAAATGATGGTCTGAGAATTTACAGAAGAGGCAATAGACAGCATTAAACAGGAAACAAAGACAATGGCGAGCATTTTTATGAATTACAACAGAGCTCAGGTCTCTAACAAACTGTAATTAAACATTTCAACTAGCTGTTAATTTTCCTGACAAAAAAAACGCATCTTCAGCATGTGCAAATACAATTTTTATGCAGGTTCCAAATAATACAGAAGGCTGATTGATGGTGACCTTGGTAATGCTGACACTATTGAAATCAGATCGATCGGGTAAACTGGGTAAAGAATTTCTGTAGCTAATGGTTGGAGGTGAAGTGAATATGATTAAAAATTGGATCAAATGAGTCTGAAGTCAGAAATCTGAGGAGCCAGGAGAATGTGAACATTAACCTGGATAGACAGAATTGGGAATGGCTGATGTCATTAAGGAGTGATTTTCTCCCATGGGGTTAAATTGTCGGTAGAAGTTAGAAGAGGGACAGTTTTCCCCAGGCTGTACAAATTTTCTGATCTCAGCTTGCAAAAACACTGTGACTGGGCCCTTTGCTCCTGAGAAGGGGCAAATCAGCCACAGCGTCCATTCCTGCAGGAATTGGACAGTTTCTCTATCTGGCGGGAAGTCTTATGGCATCATGGGTGGGTTCCCTGTTCCCAAAGCTCTGGGTTTGACTCCCGCTCCAGGACTCGGTGGTGAAGGGAAATGTGTCCACGGCTTGGTCAGGCAGGTTGAGTGTTAACATGTAAGTCCTTTCACTAGACAGTGGAAGATACATAGTGTCCTGGTTGCAGAATTCCGGTGCTGTTACAGTACAGAAGGAGGCCATTTGCAGAGGCAATGACCTGGTGGCATTTTCAGTAGACTGTTCATTCAGAAACTCAGTTCAGGTTCTGAGGACCCAGGCTCGAATCCTGCCAGGGCAGATGGTGGAATTTGAATTCAATTTTAAAAAATCTGGAATTGAGAATCTGCTGATGGCCATGAATCAATTAGAAAAACCCCATCTGGTTCACTAATGCCCTTCAGGGAAGGAAATCTGTCACCCTCACTGGGTCTGGTTCTGGGTCTAAGTCTGAGTCTAAGTCTAACCCTAACCCTATCGCAGTCCCACAGCAATGTGATTGACTCTCAACTGCCCTCTGAAACGGCCAAACAATCCACTCAGTTTCAACATCAGCTAGGAACAGGCAATAAATGCTGGCCAGTCAGCGATGCCCATATCACATGAGTGAATAAAACAAAACTGGCCCATTGTGTCTGCATCAATTCTACTCCCTTGTGCCAATCTCCTGCCTTTTCTCCGTATGCCCTTTTATACGGAAAGCTAGCCACACTTGATGCAAAGTGACAGCCCATCGACATTTCCAAAAGAAACTAACAAGATCTTTACTTGTCTCACTTGATGCAGGAAACCATATCCAGGGGGCTCACCCACATGGCCATTGGGCAAGGATAATAAATCCTGCCACAATCAATGTGAGCTTACTCAAATGGACGGTTAAGCTGAGGTGACCCAAAAAAAGAGTGACGGACCTTACATTATTGTAGCACGTTCCAGTTTGTGCAATGTCGATGGGCATTGGGTAATTTTCTGCAAGATTTAGGGTGACGTTTAGAATTTATGGCTCTGGCAGAAAGACAAACCCCAGTGAAACCACTCCCTGCGCTGGCATCATTTCAAACACAAAAGTTGAAAAGTAGCAAGTGTGCAGCTTGTTACAGCTTTTCAATTAGCTTTTTCTTGGATTTCCATTTTGCGGCAATTAGTTTTAATGATGGGCTCGTCTCGTTGAACTAATATTCTGACAGAACTTCTGTAAAAGTATCTGGAAAAGACATTTGCAACCAAATAACACCATTGCACCAAGAGTAAAAGGAAAATGCACTTGCAAAGTACTTTTTGCAAGGTCGAAGGTGCCATATAAATACAGACAGCTGTTGTTGAGTGGAGCCTTACAGGTTCCTATCACTAGTCTTTCAACCCAGCTGTTAAAAAGGTTCCTAGAACTTCAAGGGGCTAACAGACTTGCCTCTTTTCCCTGGAGAATTCCCTGCACTGTATTCCTCTCTCCAGCTGAAATTTTCTTTTAGTCTGTCCTGGGATGTGGGTGCCATTGGTAATTAACACAAGCATTTATTCCTCAATGCTAACTGCCCTTGAACTGGGCAATTTACCCAGGCATTTCTGAGTCAACCACATTGCCCTGGGTCCAGAGTCACAATGTCGACCAGACTGGGTAAGGACAGCAGTGAACCAGATAGGGTTTTGTGATAATTACTGACATCATTGTGCTCACTCTTACTGAGACTAGCTTTCAAACTCTAGATTTTTGATCGACTGAATTTAAACTCCACCAGCTGCCATGGTGAGATTTGAACTCATGCCCTCAGAACATTAGCCTGGCCTCGCCTGCATAACAAATCCAATGACATTACCATTTTGTCACCAAATCATTCCCAAAAAACAGACTTTTCTGTGTGAGGGATAAAAGGAGTGAGCAATATCCCTCAATTCCATTGCACAGATTCGTGGTCAGTGACACCTTACAGCACTGTGGCAGTTTTTACCGTCACCCAGCCAACCATCCTGGGGAGTGTTCAAACTCTGGATCAGTTCCAGCTGTTTATGGTCCAGTGACCACATCCTTATATAACATCAATTACAGTGGGAATCCAGCACCGGTACTGTCAACAAGTTGGCTGAGGGACTGAAAAACTCAGCGCTGAATTTCTGATGTTCAGGTTGTTACAACTTGCTCTGTCCTTATGAACATGAAAATGGCTTTACGCTAAAGAAATTCAGAAGCTATAACTTCTGATTATGGCATGAGGTGACTTCATATTTAGTATGTTTTGTAGACTTGAGTTTGAAGGATTGTGCAGGGCTGGGCTGGTCTTTTTGAAAGAGGTCTATGAAAGGACAGTGGGACTTTCCCTTTACGAACAATGTGTTTCTTAAAGCTCACAGTCTTGTGATAGCTGCTTGTTAATTGCAGAGTCCCGCCTGGGTTTACAACCTGAGACAACAAGGTGCAGGGCTGGATGAACACAGCAGGCCAAGCAGCATCATAGGAGCAGAGAGGCTGACGTTTCGGGCCTAGACCCTTCATCAGAAAAGGGGGAGGGGTAGGGGGTTCTGAAATAAATAGGGAGAGAGTGGGAGGCGGATAGAAGATGGATAGAGGAGAGGATAGGTGGAGAGGAAACAAACAGGTCGAAGAGGCGGGGATGGGGCCAGTAAAGGTGAGTGTAGGTGGGGAGTTAGGAAGGGGATAGGTCAGTCCAAGGAGGACAGACAGGTCAAGGGGGCGGGATGAGGTTGGTCGGTAGGAGATGGAGGTGCGGCTTGAGGTGGGAGGAGGGGATAGGTGGGAGGAAGAACAGGTTAGGGAGGCAGGGACGAGCTGGGCTGGTTTTGGGATGCGGTGGGGGGAGGGGAGATTTTGAAACTTGTGAAATCCACATTGATACCATTGGGCTGCAGGGTTCCCAAGCAGAATATGAATTGCTGTTCCTGCAACCTTCGGGTGGCATCGTTGTGGCACTGCAGGAGGCCCAGGATGGACATGTCGTCTGAGGAATGGGAGGGGGAGTTGAAATGGTTCGCGACTGGGAGGTGCAGTTGTTTATTGTGAACCAAACGTAGGTGTTCTGCAAAGCGGTCCCCGAGCCTCTGCTTGGTTTCCCCGATGTAGAGGAAGCCACACCGGGTACAGCGGATACAGTATACCACATTGGCAGATGTGCAGGTGAACATCTGCTTGATGTGGAAAGTCTTCTTGGGGCCTGGGATGGGGGTGAGGGAGGAGGTATGGGGGCAGGTGTAGCACTTCCTGTGGTTGCAGGGAAAAGTGCCGGGTGTGGTGGAGCTGGAGGGGAGTGTGGAGCGGACAAGGGAGTCACTGAGAGAGTTGTCCCTCCAGAAAGCAGATAAGGGTGGGGAGGGAAAGATGTCTTTGGTGGTGGGGTCGGATTGCAGATGGCGGAAGTGTTGGAGGATGATGTGTTGGATCCGGAGGTTGGTGGGGTGGTACGTGAGGACGAGGGGGATTCTTTTTTGGTTCTTATTGCGTGGACGGGGTGTGAGGGATGAGGTGCGGGAGATGCGGGAGACACGGTTGAGGGCGTTCTCGACCACCGAGGGGGGGGAAGTTACGGTCCTTGAAAAACGAGGACAACTGAGATGTACGGGAGTGGAATGCCTCATCCTGGGAGCAGATGCGGCGGAGGCGAAGGAATTGGGAATAGGGGATAACATTTTTGCAGGAAGGTGGGTGGGAGGAGGAGTATTCTAGGTAGCTGTGGGAGTCGGTGGGCTTGAAATGAATATTGGTTTCTAGGTGGTTGCCCGATATGGAGACAGAGAGGTCCAGGAAGGGGAGAGAGGTGTTAGAGATGGTCCAGGTAAACTTAAGGTTGGGGTGGAAGGTGTTAGTGAAGTGGATGAACTGTTCGAGTTCCTCGTGGGAGCACGAGGCGGCGCTGATACAGTCATCAATGTAACGGAGGAAGAGGTGGGGTTTAGGACCGGTGTAGGTACGGAAGAGGGATTGTTCCACGGTTTACAACCTGTCAGCTTCCAGTTTTTGATTTGGAGCCTTGTTTGTTTTTTTTTTCAGTTGATGGTCAGACTGGGGCAGAAAAGAGCTTCCCAACTCAACTCTCCCATTCCTGAAAAACATCTTGTGTGGTACCTGGAACGCTGGTCCAGTCCAAATCTTAGCTGTCCTCTTGAAAAGTTTTCAGGAGAAACCTCGTTACTGTGTTTCCTGAGCAAATCATGTTGTCAAAGATCCCAGAGATATCTACTTGATTACAGGGACATCCATGTGTCAAAACATCTGACCAACAACTATCTGAACATTCCATACCTTATCCTTCTTTTTACCTTCAAGAACTAAGACTTATTGGCAAAAAATGATTTATTTTCCCAAAGTGAATTTCTGCAGAGAGAAATCCATTTTGTTCCTTTACCTGGTGAGTCTATATTGTGGGTTATTTATAGAATATTTTCAGATTAAAAACTAAATGTGTTAATCAGTTCTGCATCTTCACTAAATAAGTTTTCTCTATAATAAGTTAACGATTTTGTGTTTGTTAAAGAAAGCCCGCGATGGATCATTTGTTTTTAATGTCTAATATAGAGAAAGCAAATGATTAGCCATATTGGGAGTGAGTAATTAATGATGCTGTGACCCATGGAGTAGTGAGATGAAGATAAAGACCATGCACACCTTCCATCTCAGCCATAACAGTTACTGAAGGTAGGGTGCAGAAAACAAAAGGGAAATATAAGGGGAGAAAGTTAGATTTTATGCGAGGTATTACAGCAAGTGAACCCAGTAAAAAAGAACAGGAGAAAACCAAGAATTAAATGATGAACTTCCATGCAAAGTATTTTGGAAACACGATTTATTGGCTGTTAATGTTTTGCATCCCTCAAGAATCCTTTCGCCTCATTCAGACTCTCAGTCATTCAGCTCATGATCTTTTCAAGCTGTCAATACTTTACTGACCTTGAGACTTCAGGATATCAAATCGCTGGAATATTCCCATGGTGCTATGTCCCACCTAGTGGTAACACAGAGAATGGAACAACAGGAAACAATTGCCAACAGAGTCACTCCTTTTGATCTTCCTCAGGGACTCCAAGCAAGTTTCAAGGCCAAAGTGCAGCTGGGTCCCAAGGAAGGAGTCAAGACTGGGTGAGAAGAGAGAAAGTGGCTATCCCAGCAGAAGAAGGGAGAGGGAAATTGAAATTTGCAGGAGGAAGTGGTAGTAGACTTTGCCTCACTATTCCTCTCCCAAAGTTTCACCCAACAGAAGAAACTCAGGCCCTGATGTATCTCCAGAAACCCCCAGCCAAAACATTCACTGGGGTGGGGGAGGTGCTGGCAGAGAGTAGGGGAAAGACAAATTGGCCTGATTTCTCTATAGGTGGAAAGTTGTAAAGGTGTGGACGCTATGAATTGTTTGAAAATGCTGAACCCCGAAGTGAGGATGAGACCAAGCCAAGCTGTGATGGTGTCATGGTCGAACAGCTTGTCAGTGTTCACCATCCAGGCTCGAATGTGAAGATTGAACATTTAACTGAGAAACTGGAAAACTGCCAGCAACAGGCAAACCATACCACAGGGGACAGAAAAGAAATTAAAAGGCTCTTTCAAGTGAATTGAAGAAAAATCTAAGAAACTATCAGCACAATCCCATTGGAGAATTTGCTATTTAAAGACACAAAAAGGGCCGGCCTTCATGCCAATACTCCTGCATTTTCAGACCTTTTCCATCACAACAGGTCCCAAAGCCCACAAACAAATCCCGAGTTTTCTTTCCTGTTGGAGTGAACAATGCCTAATATAGGAAGAATTTACAGAAGTGAGGCTTAATAACAATGTACAATATGGGTTATCACTCAGCAGTTGGGCTGCACACAATATTCTATTATTAATTTAAAAGCTGGCAATGATTCCAGTGACTGTTCACTCCCACAGGATAACGAGAGTAGCTCACTTATGACATTGAGTTACTGATCTTCAGAAATCCTTTGATGTGAAGATTTTGTTTTGAAAATGCTTCAAAAAGTTCCTTTACTTAATGGTGATTCATAAACCCACTGCCATCTGTTACTTTGTCGATCAGAATCTCAATTCACCAACAAAACTGTTGGGGTCAGACACAGAGGGCAACACATTCACATCTTAATGTATAAAAATCTCCTCTGTCATCATTTCTTTAAAATAATAATCCTTTATTTTCCTTCAAAGGATAACACACATTATAGAAACTATCGATACATATCAAACATGGTAATAGAACAGGAATGGTCAAATACAATGGGTTATGGTGATCAATTATTTCTGGAATACCTTGTCATCTTTTTCTCCTTTTTAGTTAACCAGGTTCCCAGGCTGATGTAACAAGGTGTAGAGCTGGATGAACACAGCAGGCCAAGCAACATCAGAGGAGCAGGAAGGTTGACGTTTCGGGCCTAGACCCTTCTTCAGACACCTCCCAGCCTCCCAGGCTGATGTGCTGTTTTTTGCGTTTACAATAAAAGGCGGAATATGATTTACCCATCGCTGCTCTGACTCTCCTCTAACCCAACTCTCACCTTCACCCTTCCAACATCCTGCTCCCAAGCTAACCAGGAGATAAATTAAATTGTGTTTTGGACTTTGAGTTTAGACCTCACGGTCATGGATCCAGGACTCTGATGGTGAGATTAGTGAATTACCAGGCAACACATTGTGGGAACTTTAAACAAGCTGTTTGCTTGAGTCCCACAAGTGATCAATTATATTAATACAGATCTGACTAGACCTTACATTTAGCACTGGTTAAACCCACCTCATTGATCACAGAGTGCCCCCCGAGTAGATTATTGTCTTAGTCACAATTAACTAGACTCACATAGACTCATCAGATAAAAAGGGATTATTCCACACGGCTTTCAGCAACCTCAACAAGAAATTATGCAGTCCTGCAAAATTATTACAGACTCCTGGCTCTGGTCAACTGAAGGTTAATATCTAGGGTCTGCCTCAACATAAATGTCTTTTTCCAGCAATACTCAAGTTCTGTACCAATAAAAAACTATTTGAACATCCCCTGTTCTGAAGAAATGTTAACTCTGTTTCTCTCTCCATAGATGCTGCCAGACCTGCTGAGTTTCTCCAGCAATTTCTGTTTTTATTTCAGATTTCCAGCATTTTGTTTTTACTTGAATCATAGAATCCCTACAACACAGAAAGAGGCCATTCAGCCCATCAAGTCTGCACCAACCGTCTGAAAGGTGTCTGACCCATGAATTAGCCGTGGGAAATGTAGGGTTACAGGGATGGGGTGGGAAGCTCTTCAGTGGGTTAGTGTGGACTCAATAGTCTGCTTCCACACTGCAGGGATTCTATCACTCTATGACCCAGACCCCAGTCTATCCCCGCAATTCCCATGACTGATCCACTTAACCTGCACATCTTTGGACTGTGGGAGGAAACCAGACCACGCAGAAGAGACCCATGCAGACATGGGGAGAACATACAAATTCCACACAGACAGTCACCCAAGGTTGGAATCAAACCCGAGTCCCTGGCGCTGTGAAGCAGCAGTGCTAACCACTGAGCCACCATGCCACACTAGGGAGCTTTGTGTTTTACTTGTAAAGAATGATTAAACTCACCGAAGGGCCTTTCCTCAATCAGTGCTCCCAATTTTGTTGATTGCAGGGAGCACTGACAGGGAAACAGAGTGCTGAAACCCTGGAACAGTGCACTGAGAGTTGCCATTGTTGTCCAATTCTGTGCTCCCTGGGGGCTAGGGTCTTGACTCGGAGGCTCCAACTTCTTCCTGTCATTGCTTCATCTTTCGAACAGACTTCATTATCCATGCGTTTGTGAAGTCTGTCAACAGACAACATTAAGTGACATTGAACATGTAGATCACATGCAACCAATTCTGATATTCCTAATGTCAACATGCTTGTTGTAATTTCAGTTGAGTAGGTCAATAAATTCTGAATTATTTATCTTTCACCATAAAGTGTCACTTGGTTTTTAATAGAGAAGTTGAACTGTATGATGCAGATATTTTGGGAAGTACATCACTGACATTGACATGGATGATGGGAGGATTACAGAGGGGTATGTTAGTATTCTGGAGAATGTTGATATTAAGAAAGAGGAGTTGCTGGTGTCTTGAAAAGCATTAAGGCAGATAATTCCCCAGGATCTATGGGATCTATCCTAGGATCCTGAAGGATGCAAAGGAGGAGATTGCTGGGGCCTTGACAGAGATCTTTGCAACCTTATTAGCCACAGGCAAGGTCCCAGAAGACTGAAGAATAGCTAAGGTTGTTCGTTTGTTAAGAAGGACAACAGGGATAATCCAGGAAATTATAGGCCTTACATCAACGGTAGGGAAATTATTGGAGAACATTCTTAGGAACAGAATTTACTTGCATTTGGAAAAGAATGGATTATATTGGGGATAGTCAACATGGCTTTGTGCAGGGGAAGTCTTGTCTCACAAATTTGAGTTTTTCAAGAACGTAGCATAGGTGATGGAGGGTAGGGTAGTGGATGTTGTTTACATGGGCTTTTCTAAAGCATTTGACAATATCCTTCATGGTAGGCTGGTCCAGAAGATTAACTTACATGGGATCCATGATGAGTTGGTTAGTTGGATACAAAATTGGCTTTGCCATGGAAGACAGAGGGTAGTTGTGGAGGGGTGTTTTTCTGATGGAGGTCTGTGACCAGCAGTGTTCTACAAGGATCACTGCTGGCACCTCTGATGTTTGTAATATATATAAATGATTTAGATGAAAATATAGATGGTCAAATTAGTAAGATTGTAACAAAATGAAAATTGGTGGAGTTGTGGATAGTCAGGAAGGTTGTCAAAGGATACAGCAAGACATTGATTAGTTGGAAAGTTGGGCAGAGAAATGGCAAATGAAATTTAATCCAGGCAAGTGTGTGGTGATATATTTTGGAAGGTCAAATGCAAAAGGCGAGTATATACTAAATGGCAGGACTCATAGCAGCATTCATATATAGAGGGATCTTGGGATGCAGGCCATAGCTCCCTGAAAGTGGCAACACAAATGGATAAGGTGGTAAAGAAGCTGTACAGCATGCTTGCCTTCATCAGTCAGAGTACTGGATATAGAAGTTGGCAAGTCATGTTGCAGCTGTATAAAACATACTTAAGCAACATTTGGAGGATTGAGTACTGTTCTGGCCCCCATACTATAGGAAGGATGTGGAGGCTTTGGAGAGGGTGCAAATGAGGTTTTCCAGTATGTTTCCTGGATTGGAGTGTATTAGCTATAAGGAGAGGTTGGACAAACTTGGATTGTTTTCGCTAGAGTGTCAAATGCTGAAGGGCAACTTGATAGACATATATAAAATGATGGGAGGTGAGGACAGGATGGATTGTCAGAGTCTTTCTCCCAGGATGGAAATGTCAAATACTTGGGGGCATAGGTTTATGATGAAGGGGTAAAAGTTTAAAGGAGATGTGCAAGGAAAGTTTTTTTACACAGAGGATGGTAGGTGCCTGGAATGATGGCAATGTTTAAGAGGCATTTAGACAGACACATGAAACAGGCAGGGAATAGAGGGATACAGACCATGTGCAGGCACATGGAACTAGTTTAGCATGGCATCATGGTCAGCACAGTCATGGTGGGCCAAAGGGCCTGTTGCTGTGCCGTACTGTTCTATGCTCCAATAGCAGAGAAATCCCCAGTTGGTACAATCAGGTAAATGCATCGATTTTGCTTAAGGCTGTGTCTGTAACCAAAGTCACTGTGGATGGAGCACCAACAAACCCTGCAAAATATCGGGTGTTGCACTTAAACTCACCTGACAGAAGTGTCTGGGCGATCTAATTGTTACTTGTACATGCGCAGGAGTGACATCTATTAATTTAGAAATGTTTGAAAATGTTGCTTTGATTATTAGTTACTGACAGCTATGGTATTTCATCTCTCCCTGACTAATGTAACTGCACCTTCATTTGAGGCAAATTGTCTCCACACCAATATCTACAAACATTCATTATTTACAGGATACATTATTGTTTTCTCAATCCACAATATTTCCTTTCTCTTTAGAACCATCCTTACTCATGATAAAGGCTTCAGGAAAGTACATTTCTGAAAAATGTTTTAACAACTAACCAGAAAAGCAGTATTCAGTCACAGGGTACGTTTGTGTGTATGAGTGAACTTTGAGAGGGTAGATGGCTCTTGGTGGCCGTCTTGAATGATGGCTTGCAATTTGGAAACACACATTCCATCTGCTGAACGGGATAGGCCCCATATTTGGGATTAATCAGGCAGATTAATTCCTTGGAACAGGCTGAAGAGTCATGATCTGAACAACCTACTGTTGTGGCTTTATGTTGGCTACTGAGACAGTGTTGTGCTCTGTGATTTGTTATATTTGTTGCAAATTTTTAAATGCCATTCTTTGTTTATTGTTTTTATTAAAACCAAATTTGTAACCACTTCCATCTGAAAGGACAAGGGCAGCAGATACATGGGAACACCATCCCCTGCAAGTTCCCCTCCAAGCCACTCACCGTCTTGACTTGAAAATGTATCACTGTTCCTTCACGTCGCTGGGTCAAAATCCTGGAATTACCTCTCTAAGGGCATTGTGGGGTTACCTACACCCCAAGGACTGCAGCGGATCAAGAAAGCAGCTCACCACCACGTTCTCAAGGGGCAACTAGAGATGGGCTATAAATGCTGGTCCAGCCAGCAGTGCCCACATCCTGAGAGTGAATAAACTAACAAATCAACAGGTACTAATGAGCAACAACAAAACACCAGTCATATCAATCCTTTTGTCACTGTGCCAGGCTTCTCGAGAATATAAACATAGATGCCTACTTTTGCAATATTTTTCATTTCTCTTCCCCAATTTCATTTCTTCTATCCTTGACAGACTGGATGCTGCTGCTGGAAGTTGAACAGACAATCCTCTGATCGTAACAACCGAGTGTCTTAGCTTAATGATTAAAATAATAGATTAGTAATCCAAAGGCTGTATTTAATAATCCAGTGGAATGGGAGTTCAAATCATACCATGACAGTTTGAGAACTTGGCTTTCGTTCAGGAATTCTGCTGAAAATTAAATGCAGACAATCAAATAAAGAGTTGAGGTTGGTTGGCTCGCCGAGCTGGTTCGTTGTTCCGCAGACGTTTCGTTACCGCGCTGGGTAACATCCTCAGTGCAGCCTCTGATGAAGCGTTGGTGTGTTTTCCCGCCTGGTTTTTAAACTCTGGGGTCCGTTGCGATGGATTGCCTCACTTCCGGGTTTCCTCCGCAGTGGAATGTATATGGGGTCGAGTTCAATGTGTTTATTAATAGCCTGCTTCGTGGAGTGCCATGCTTCCAGGAATTCTCGTGCCTGTCTCTGCCTAGCCTGTCCCAGGATCTTGGTATTGTCCCAGTCGAAGTCGTGGTTCTCCTTGTCCATGTGGATTGAGATGAGTGAGTATTGGTCGTGTATCAACACCCTCAACACCCACAACCCGCGCTACAGATCTACTCCAAAACCTTAGAATCAAATAAAGAAATGAGGGAGCTGTTAGATTGTTGCGGAAAAAGTCCAACCGATGCACTAATCTCAGTG